GCAGAGCAGTCATATCAGAGAAGGTAACCTGTGTATGGTGACACTGTTATCTAGACCACTGTTCCCATGGTCCTTTTGCTAACATTCACTTGGAACTTTTATTTTAAGAGAAAAATGTCTTAATTATTCTTTACTGATATGAAACTTAAAATCAAAGCCCCTGAGTGGCTCACATTGACAAGCCCTGGTGGTATAGTGGGATAAGCTTTGGACTGCTAACGCACTGCAAGGTTGGTACTTCAAATCTACCAGCCCTTTGCTGAGAAAAGGTTGAGGCCGTCTGCTCCAATAAACATTTACAGTCTGAGAAACCCTAGGGAGCAGTTCTTCTCCGTTCTCTAGGGTCACTATGAGTTTGTTGATTTAATGACAATGGGTTTTTTGGTTCTTACTAGTCTAAGAGTTGGTGATCAACTTCAAGAAACCCACCCAGAAGGGATTTAGAAGGTAAACTGCTTCCAACGAAGGTTGACAACCCCGTGGAGCAGTTTCTCTTCATCACACACGAGCTCAGCATGAGTAGGAATCCACTCAATGGCAACTAACAGCAATAACTAACCTGACGGTTGACGATTTGCACCTATACTGCGGTTCCATGGGGGAAAAGCTTGACGGTCTGCTTCCTTGAAGGTTACAGCCAAGAAAATCCTATGGGGCAAATATACTCTGTAACAAAGGAGGTTACCATGAGCCAGGATCGATTGCACAGAAATGGGTTTAACTTAAAGTCAGTTGGGGAAAAACCATGACAAGCAACATGGAAAAGGAAGGAACCAATGTGTGATTAAACCAACAATATGCTCATCACTTCTCCAAACTCAAACTCACCACCATGGAGTCTATACTAACTCCTAGTGACTCCACAGGACAGGATAGAACTTCCCCCTGGGAGTTTCCAGGACTGTAACTCTTCATGGGAGCAGACTTCCCTGCCTTGTTCCCTCTGCACAGCTCATGGTTTCAAACTGCTGTGATTTACCATAAGAAAGACTTGCCAAATGGTCATGAATCCCCATGGTCAGGACCTACATGGGAGGCCACACTTCCTTTTGCTCTTCAGGGCAGTCCAAGTCATTCTCACCTCCTGTGAGTCATCACACTTCCTGATCCCACTATCCCCTCCTCCCAGCCTTCTTCCCCCATCCACTCACCCTGCGTGTCTCAGCCGCGTCACTTCACTTCCCATCTGTCTTCTGGATGGACCGGAAGCCCTGTGAAGGGAGGCTCTTTGTTTGCAGTTGTGTCCCCACCATCTGAAAACAGTGCCTAGCTCCCAGTAGAAGTTCCAGCAACACTTAGAATGAGTAAATGAGCATGTGACTAAAAACCCTGTTGCAGTATGCTCTGGGTCCCTTTGGTGTTTTAATGCAGATTGGCTGAAACAACTGGCTCCTTAAAACTGTTGAATGAGGCAAGTTGGTATACTGTACTGGTGAGTCAAGAAGAGGTCTACAGAGGGCAGTGTTATGGGAGAATGCAGCAAAGATTGCTAAATTTAAGTCAAGCCCAATTTTGTTTTTTCGATCCGGCCTATACCTTAATCATGTAAGGCCCAGCTCACAGATGAGAACATCATCTTTTTCTCACCCTTTTCCTGAGTCCTCAAACTGAAAACCAGATCCCATGCCGGGGAGTCGATTCTGACTTATGGCAATCCTATAGGACAGAGCAGAACTTCTCCTTAGGGGGCTTGAGCCAGAATATATATGGGAGCAGGCAGCCTTATCTCGTTTCCATGGAGCAGCCAGTGGTTTCAAACTACCAACATTGTGGTGAGCAACCCACTGCTTAGCCCACGGAGACATCAGAGCTCTTTTCCCGCATGCTCAGAAATTGTTCCTTCATCTCCACCACTCTTATCTCCTGTTCCCTTTGCACCCTGTGCCCTGCTTTCTTAGAAAGATGTAGAGGAAAAATTAACACTGACTACCACTCCCCAACCCTGATAGTTAAGGTTTAGCTTCCTTATCTGACTGACTAGGGACAGAGTCTAGGTGCAGGGAGGAGCAGAAATCCTTGAGTGACTAAGGCAGCAGGACATCGTCACACTTGTGCAGATGTACAGTTTGATGCCCACAGATAGAGCAGAAAAGAAGAAAAGACTCAGTTTGGCTGAGGTTTCCCAGGTAGTTATAACTTTCACTGGGCTGCTTAACCAGACAAAAAATCACAAATTCTGTTATGCTATTAAGCTAACATAAAATTAAGCATATAAGAAACATATTCAGGAAAAAGGTAACTAAACACTGAAACTTTTCCTAGAAAATTTAAGAATTTTCTTCTCAAAATGTGTGTTAATCCTTCGCTTTTAAAGAACTTATATCTCTCATGCAAGGAGGTTGACCCTTGGATAAACCAAACAATGTGCTTTTCAGTTATTTTTGTACAGTATTTTGTTTTGTTTTTCCTGATTTTATTTTTAGTTATTGTAAAAATCATTTTATTGGGGGCTCGAACAGCTCTTATCACAGTCCATACATATATCCATTGTGTCAAACACATTTGTACATATGTTGCCATCATCATTCTCAAACATTTTCTTTCTACTTGAGCCCTTGGTATCAGCTCCTCATTACCCCCCACTCCTTCCCCCTTTGTACAGTATATTGATGGACACATATGTTGAAAGAAAAAGAAGCAATTTCAATGTTATTTATATTAGACTCAATTGGAAAGTTCCCTTTACATTGAATTTCCCTAAGCTGTCTATTGTGTGGGAGCCAGAAAGCTTCCTTCACAGAAGACTGCCTTTCTCCTCCGTCTTTCAAGACATTTATTGTGTTGGTCATAAAGGGTTCCTTAAAGTGCTCTGTAAAGAATAGTCTTCTTGAAGAAGTGAACCAAGAAACACCTTGCTTTTATTTCCACTGTGTTCTAGCAGGAGCAGGGCGCACTCAAGTCTGAACTTCCAAAATCCTCAGCAGTAAAGCTGGAGCCAGCAGAATTGTTTCGCCAAGGCTTCTCTTATGCCACGGTGAGACTTTGGACCTGCATTTGTAAGATTAGGAAACCAAGCTTGTTTACATTTGCTCACACTGAGAACTTGTCCAAGCTGAGCCAGTCAGGGTGCAGTATAGCACGGATGAAACATACAACTTTCCTCTAGTTCTTTAATGCTTCCCCCCGCCCCCCACTATCATGACCCCAATTCTCTCTTACAAATACGGCTAGACCAGAGCATGTACACAGGTACAGATAAGAGCTGAAAACACAGGAAACCCAGGACAGATAAACCCCTCAGGACCAATATTGAGAGTAGCCATACCAGGAGGGGAAGGGGAAGGTGCGGGGAGAAAAGGGGAACCAATCACAATGATCGACCTATAACCCCCTCCCACAACAGAAAAGTGGGTGAAGGGAGACATCGGTCAGTGTACGATATGAAAAAATAATAATAATTTATGAATTCTCAAGGCTTCATGAGAGAGGGAGGGTGGGGGAGGGAAGGTGAAAATGAGAAGCTGATACTAAGGGCTCAAGTAGAAAGAAAATGGAAAATGATGATGGTAACAAATGTACAAATGTGCTCGACACAATGGATGGATGTATCGATTGTAATAAGAGTTGTACGAACTCCCAATAAAATGATTTTTAAAAAAGCAACTTGTCCAGTTTGGGTTCCAAGAATCAATCAAGTATTTACAATAAAGAAGCTAACCCTGAAACTAACAAACACATTTTGTACTTTCAAACTTCAAAGCTAAATTGAAGGCTGATTCCTCCCCCCAAATGCCCACCCCAGATGTAGAAATTTAATTCACTCTTAAATTGTATGTATAATACTGTTACTGAGTTTTTGTTTCAAAATTTTAAGTGTTCGAGCCAAATCTGGGTAAAATAATCACATCACACATTGTATCCAGTGCAATTTTAAAATTTGAGGTCATACGTGTGTTTATATTTTATCACAGATTAGAAAGGTTTTCTGGGGGCTGTGAAGTACACAGAATTAGCTTCCTCGTCGAACCTAACTAGTGATTAGACTTGTTGTCCTTTCCTTTCACAAGCAGAGTATGGCCCCCGCCGGTATGGTGAGTTCCGCATTGGACTGCTAACCTCTAGGTCAGCAGTTAGAAACCATCGGCTGCTCTGCAGGGGTAAGATGAGCCTTTCTACTCCATTGGAGGGTCGCTGTGAGTCAGACTCAATTCTAAGGCAGAGTTTGGTTTGGGGGGGTTTATCCCTGGCAACAAAGGAACACCCTGCTGGCACAATGGTTAAATGCTGCACTGCTATGCAAAGGTTGGCAGTTCACACTCACCAAATGGCTCAATGGGAGAAAGATTTGGCAGTCTGGTTTCATAAAGATGACAGCTAAGAAAACGAGCAGTTCTGTGTGCTTACGTGGGGTCAATCTGACTTGAAATCCACTACAAGGCACCTAAATACATCTCATATGACAGCCTCAGTGAATGAAGTCATGCTGTTTTCATGGAGTACTCACACACCCTGCTGGCCAGTCTCTGAAATCACAGTCAAAAGAACTTTAATACGAGAGGGCTGTTATATGGAAACCCCACTAGATGAACCGCATCTGTAACCTTCTGAAAACTGAACTACACGGTGTGTGAAGAAGCTGAAGACAGCTATACCAAGAGAAATGAACTGTTGGTAGGCGGACTAACAATTTGCTTACTACTTCAATGCCTACTTGCTGTTTTAAGATATTCTGGTAGACCTGTGTCTGACATTGTCAGCGAACACCATTATAAGTTTTGCCTGACCACCAACTCCCATTGTTTGTGCAACTAGCTTTCAGTCACATATGGATTTATTCTGTACAAGTGAATAATTCAGGCATTGTGATGTGCCATTCTCTCAGTACTGTTTTAAAATTGGTTAATCAATGACTCTGTAAACAGAAGGTCCTTAAGATTCTCTAACACAAATTAGCAAGGATGTCTCTGAACCAGAAGCAGATAGAAAACACAAATTCAGGAATGGATTTGGGGCTTGCACTTAATCCTAGCTCCAATCTAAAAACAATTCGTTCTTAGGACATGGCGCTGCTCAATATTCGCCCTCATGAAGGAAACACAGAAGGTGCAGATGCTATTACAAAGTGTGGTGAAGAAATTAGATGGTGCCCAGCTATCAGAAAGAATAATGTCTGGGGTCTTAAAGGCTTGTTTTCAACAAAGCAGCTACCTAAATGAGATGTTAACTAAGCCCACATGGAACAAGCACCCCCAAAAGCCATAATCCAAGGATTGTAAATCACACAATCCAAAGGAAGGAATAGCATCAGAGCTTAAATTATGAATTTCTGGTGTGCAGAAAGGTATGGGTGACATAGAGTGGAAGCCCAAAATACATTTGCAAGATGCACACAGGGAATAAACGTCCAGTGATTTCCCTCTAACCATAAAGAGAGATGGGAATAACCTGATTATCAGAGAGAGTATTGGAGAGACTACTACAGTAGATTATAATGATAAATATGACTTGATTGTTTAAAACATTGTCACTTAATCTCTTTCTGACACACTTTGTGCTTAATCTGGCTTTTAATATTTTCTGTATTTTTTTTCATGTTAAGGTTCGTCTCTGTTGTGTTTTGTCATTGTTGGTAGCCTTCTTGATTGTATGTTATGTGTCTCTGTTTTTCCCTATATGAAACCCAGGATAGG